GGATTTGAATTCTGGCTCAAAATCCAGTTTTGGACCAAAATTACAATTTGAATTAAAATTTCATCAACTGATTTTTGATAATGGAGTACTTTTTATGGGTTAATCGTAAATAAAGCGCGGCGTGAAGTACACAACTGTGGAACTTATCATTAAGTTGCCGTCAATTGATTTAGTGCAACTGTATAAAATATGTGCCGCCTTCTTTAATACTTGGTACATAGTAAGAACATATTTCCAAACAAATGGCGGATCCAAGATGGCGAAACAAATTTCAAATATCATCATCATGGATCCACCACTTTGAATTTTCAAAATTTGAAGTTAGATTCGTAATCAGCGACCCCGAAAACCATCATATGATAATTTTTAATGATAGCCGGTGATATTTGAAATTTTTTTCCGCCATCTTGGATACGCCATTTTGAATTTCTAAATTCTGACATCCGATTCGTAATCAGCCACTCCAAAAACCATTGTATAATAGTTTTTTTATGAAATCCAGTGATATTGGGAATTTTTGTCCGCCATCTGGGATCCGCCATTTTGGATATTCAAAATCTTAAGTCAGATTCGTAATCAGCGACCCCAAAAACCATTGTATAATTTTTTCCGCAGGTTGATTGCAGAAATTGAAAAATTTCTCCAATAATGAATTTTGTTAAAAAAAGGGTTGTTTTTTTATTTGTTAATTAATATAAATAAATTAACAAACTAATTCATACCTTTGTGCATGAATTTTAATTCTGTAGCATCCAACGCTCATAGAAATACAAAAAACATCGGTTAAATCGAATTTAAACTACTTCAAAATCACAAAAAACTGTTGTAGAAAAGGTGGCACCAGGGGCGCAAAGGGTTAACCAACAAAAAACAATAAAATATCGCACTATCACGGGTATTACACTATCACATATGTTTCTTTATTTTGTGGTGTAAAAGTCTTTTATACGACACCACGTCTTTAAATAAATGAAGTGAACGTTCCACTTCACAACTCGTTATCGGGGCATTTTCATAATGCTTTTACGTTTCATCATATCTTGACACTACAGATATTTCACAATTTTTGACATTCAGAGTTCCGTTTCATACACAGTAACGCCCTTATTTGTTCAGACAGTCTTCAAAAATTAAGAATAAACTAAATAGCGGAGGCCGGCCGCTGTTTGCGACATGTCGTCATCATCGCTGCAAAAAAAAGTCCACCGCCCTGTGTGATTTCATATTTAATTGTCGTGACGGCAGGCAAATCGACTACCGACTTGGCGAGAAAGTCTCCATGTGTGTGAGCGCCCTTAGGAAGTAAATTAGTCGGCTCGGCGCTCATGGCTGTGACGTCAAAAATGACTCGTCTGTGCTTCACGCCGCGCCCTGATCATACTTTTGCTTTACTCCACTGGTCACTTATTTTGAATATTAGAAACTAAAAAAAAAACATTCAAAATGGCATAGGTTCTAAAAAAAAATAGTTATAAGTTATGGAGCATCTATTTATATAACGTATATTGTATACATTCCATTTTTTTACAATTTTTTTATTGTTAATAAATATTGCTGACGTGTATTTGTAAATATGCAATCCATGGAAATTTATAACTAAAGACAGTAAATTCCTTTGGCTATACAGACCAGGAATGACAACACTGAATATTCACGAGCAATAAAATAGACATATGTAAGTAGTAGCATAATTTATTGTTTGTTTATTATCTCAGTCTTATTAAAAATAAAAAATGCAAAATAAATAACAATATAACTTATATATATTATATATACTTACCATGTGCCTAGGTATTTGTATAAAATTTGTGTGGACGGTGCTTTTACCATTGCATAGTGGTTTATATTAATAATCGAGTGATAAAAGTTTCTATTGTCAATGCATTTCTATAGTACACCACGACATTTAAACTGCACGTAATTTTTTACAGTTCATGGCTACGCAATGGTAAATAAAATACGTCGATTTTTTTAAAATATAATTTTTGGTCAGCTTTTGGATTTGCATTTTGAATACTTTAGGAGTCCCCAAAAAAATATACTAGCCAACAATTGAACCAAAAGAACTCTTGAAATGAAATAACCAAATAACCGAACAATCTAAAATCATGGGCAACTTTTTAAAGGGCTTGGAGATTCCAACTCGAAGTAGGTTTTCAATTTTTTCCATCAATTGTTGGGCGGCTTACGAATTCTCGCTATTACAAATTCAACGGAGGCACGACAACTATTAAGTGCTACATAGGGCACTATGAATTTATGGGCAATATTTTTAACTGTCTAAATTTTTGTAAAATAATATTTGTAATTTTTTAGATTCATCGTGCCCTTTCGTTTATTTACGCACGTAAATAAGAGAAAAGACCTGAAATTGTATGTCGACATTGAATAATCTTCACAACATGTTCATTCAAAAAACACTTAAAAACGTGAAAATAAATGTTTAATAAAAATTTAACGATTTCATAGTTCTTATAAATTAACTAATCATATATATCAAAAAGAAAGTATCTAAATCGATAACATACAAACTGATGTTCTTTTTGTCTGATACTATCACTTAATAGGTCTCTCCTCTGAAGAGTTATCTATCTTTAATTTTACAAAAGGTACATTTTCGAGTCTTAAAAGCACATTATCTCTTAGACTGTTGCATATCTTAAAAATGTATTGTAGGCGTATTCGATACGATCTGTTATTGCTTTATGCTGCATCGTATTGTAGTATTGAATAATTAAAAATATTTTTGAACTATTTGCTTTATATGCAGGCATCGGGTTGTAATAATAAAATAAATACTAAAAATTTTTAATAAAGTTACTATAAAGTCGAGTTTTTTGCAGTTAGCTATATAAAATTATCAACGATTACAAATTTAATCTTAACTATTGCATGCGATCCTTAATCTACAACTATATTTCACAAGGAAACATTGACGAGTACAAAGACCTTATATAAAATTTACAGTATGTAATTTTTGATAAGTGTAATAGGCCAAAGGTAGATTTAAATTAAACTATTAAGAACTCCTCAATGTCTCGAGTTATTGAATTCAATTTGAAACTGTTCTATAAGTGTATTAATAGCATTCTATACATTAGGGTCATACTCCAACGTTCATTTTAAACCATTACTTATAAATTTTAATAGCAAACACTTTATAGTAACTCATAGGTATATTTTATAGTTTTGAATGAATAATGCGATATGAAACATATATTTTCTATTTTATTGTATTTATATTAAAATTATAGTCGACTTTTATAATCATTGGGCCTGTGATGTCAACAAGAAAGCGGCTACTAAGTTCATTTTTAAAACCTATACAAATAATTTATATTTACAGGCCAGATAATACTGTTATGTTTAACTAATATGTACTTTATAGTAAATAAATTGTTTTAAAATATTTCTCTAAATATTTTCTTATTTAATCACCATTTTATCACCATGTCCTCATTCCCAACCGAAACTGGAAAGCTGTAATACCACCTTCAGTTAGCCTGTATCGATGGTCTCAAATATGTTTTCATCGCATGGGTGTCATTTATATTACCTTAACACATTATTAAAATTTGTTATTTAAAACAAGGTCTTTCAACTTTCTGTTGAATTATTGGAAACAATTATTGTATATTATACACTAATTTTAATAAACCACTGAACAATGAACAAATCATTATACATAATCATTGTAGTACTTTTAATTAAAAAAAAAAAAAAGTATATGTAATTATTTGGATTTATTTGCTCTACTACACGATAAAAATACACAAATAAAACATGCTGACCTGCTAACATGTTCGCTGATTATTACTTCACACTCATGCATCTGGAATAGCCTCTAGACCCTAGTGGCAAAAATATAGTCTTAAAAAAATCGTTAAAACAGAAGTAATGCATACAACAAAAAGAATCGTCATCGACAAACGAATATGTTTCTTAGTGCCTTATGTCCTTAGTCTCTTGGTGAACAAAAAAACATTCAATTCAACTGATGAATTAAGGACAAAAAACGTTGTAATCATAGTACGGTGAGTATTAGCGTCCTACTTTTTTACAACAACATTATTTGCACTGACTGTACTTTAGAACTTTATACATGCACATTAGTCAACGAAATTATTTAATTAGACCTCATTATGTTTTCTAAGCACACAATACTACTTACTTTAACTTTGTAAGGATTGTCAGTTAACCGTCTATCCCTTAAATATTGCATTCTTTCCTCTCGTGTCAGTAAACTCCTTCGGTACATCTAAAGCATAAAATTTTAGATTAAACATAGGAAAATTGAACATACCACTCAAATTTTTTTATTTACTATACAGCCAGCTTTACTTTTCTAGTTTTATGTTATCTATTATATAATTCTGTATCACAATTTCGGTTACATACATTTCCAACAACGGCTTTATTTATTACATATGCGGATGCATGAGGAACAGCCATAAACACAACGATTAGGCCAAAGCTGGGTAAAATTTCAAACCACATTTTGAAAATTTAATAATGGAAATAATGGAATTGATATAAAAATGTTGACACTTAAATTTTTAGGTTACATAGAAATAAACGCTTTCGTTTTAAAGTTGAGGTCACGGTACTTACCCACCCTAGTTGCTTTCGATTTACACGAAGCTCCTCACCTCATTTAAACCTGTCACAGTCATATAATATAATGATCACTTGTTGTAATTTTAAAACTACTAAGGTCGGAATTCATAGTTAGAACTTAAAATAAATACTTTCGCGATTAATTATTAAAATTTTAAATAAGATCAATGCGATTTGACGATATATTGCAACATTTCCAACAAATCTCCAATAGACGAATGGTTAGGGCATTGGCGTATGAACCTCCAAGGTGAAGGGTTCGATTCTTTCCATTTGGTAGTTTCGAATGCTGTCATTGATTTTTTTAATTTACAATTACAAGCTAAAATTTTAATTTAAAATTAAATATATTTAACAGAGTATAGCAAAACAATTACCAAGCTGAAATGGCCGAATGGATAAGGTGTTAGCGTTGCGATCACAATGTCGTGGGTTCGATTCCTACAGGGGGTACGTTCATTTTTTTTATTTACAATTTTAATTTCAAAATTAAATAATATACCATATACCATATTTTTTGTACCCATTGTGATTAAAACTAACGTTTTCTCTGCTACTCATTTAAACAACCAGAAATTTTACATTTCAATAAAACCATCCTTCATATGTAAAAATATACCGAAGAGATCGTTCTATTCTCCTGATAATTATTAAAATACTCCGGTCTAGGCGTGGTGAAAACATAATCACCAGCGCATTCGCCAAACTTAACAAAATCTCTATTTTTGACAGTCTCAAATTTGGCGAATGCGCCAATGTTTCCACAAAAATTAAACAGAGGTGTCCTGTTCTCCTGGTAAAATACCTCCTCGCATTTCTGCACTCCTAATACAAAGCGTCAATATTCAATAAGTGTACGTCTAGGCATGGTGAAAACATAATCACTAGCGCATTCGCCAAACTTAACAAAATCTCTATTTTTGACAGTCTCAAATTTGGCGAATGCGCTAATGTCTCCGCAAAATTAAACAGAGGTGTCCTGTTCTCCTGGTAAAATACCTCCTCGCATTTCTGCACTCCTAATACAAAGCGTCAATATTCAATAAGTGTACGTCTAGGCGTGGTGAAAACATAATCACTAGCGCATTCGCCAAACTTAACAAAATCTCTATTTTTGACAGTCTCAATTGGCGAATGCGCTAATGTTTCCACAAAAATTAAACAGAGGTGTCCTGTTCTCCTGGTAAAGTACCTCCTCTTAATTTCTGCACTCCTAATACAAAGCATCAATATTCAATAAGTGTACGTCTAGGCGTGGTGAAAACATAATCACTAGCGCATTCGCCAAACTTAACAAAATCTCTATTTTTGACAGTCTCAAATTTGGCGAATGCGCTAATGTTTCCACAAAAATTAAACAGAGGTGTCCTGTTCTCCTGGTAAAATACCTCCCTCCGCATTTCTGCACTCCTCATACAAGCGTCAATATTCAATAAGTGTACGTCTAGGCGTGGTGAAAAATAATCGGCGCATTCGCTAAAAGTATCAAAATTTGTATTTTTGTTTAGACAGTCTCAAATATGGCGAATCCGCTAATGTTTCAAAAATATAAATGTACTAGAACAATTAAAACGTTTTTTTTTGCAAAAATGAAAACTGAAAAAACTAAAGTTGGTCCTAGAGCAACTTCGACCATATATTCGGAATCTGTCGTCTGGAATCGTGTAATTTAAATCGATTACACAAAAAATCTCGTACGACGCGCCGTTTTTCCGGAAACGTGGAAAAACTCCGAAAATCGTGAAAAAACAATCCCGCAATATCCTTCCCATATCTCGTGCGTATTTCAGTTTGATGTCGTGTGAAATGCAGTTAATTGAGTATTTAAAAGTTAAATGATCTATAATCTACACAAATAGGTAGAATGATCCATGGCGGAGGACCTACCACGAGCACATAGTGAACATAGGTTTTGACGCCGGGATATTATATTGAGTGTCCGGTGTTGAGACCTTGTTTCTCTTACGGCTCTTTCTACAGGATATAGCTAAGCAAAATCGATACAATGTCAAACATAAGGTAAGAAAAACTAAAAATATAATAGGAGACATTCTTTATATATGTAAAAAATTTCATTTCTATACTCCTGATAAGTGATTAAAATACCTCCTCGCACTTCTGTGTTCCTGGTACCAGGAGTATAATTTTCATTTCAAATTAAACGTTCGCTTGAAAAGGAAAATTAAACAGAGGTGTTTCAGTACTCTTGATAATTCGTAAAATTCCTCCCTCGCACTTCTGTGTTCTGGTACTAGGAGCAGAAATTTTCATTTAAAATTAAACGTTCGCTTGAAAAGGAAAATTAAACAGAGGTGTTTCTGTACTCCCTGATAATTCGTAATATACTTTCTCGCACTTCTGTGTTCCTAATACCAGGAGCAGAAATTTCAGTATAAAATTAAACAATCGCTTGTAAAAAAAATTAAACAGAGGTGTTTCTATACTCCTGATAATTCGTAAAATACCTCCTGTCACTTCTGTGTTCCTAATACCAGAAGCAGAAATTTCAATATTAAATTAAACATTCCCCTTGGAAAGAAAACTTAAACAGAGGTGTCCTGTTCTCCTGGTAAAATACCTCCTCGTATTTCTGTATTCCTAATACAAAGCGTCAATATTCAATAAGTGTACGTCTAGGCGTGGTGAAAACATAATCACCAGCGCATTCGCCAAACTTAACAAAATTTGTATTTTTGACAGTCTCAAATTTGGCGAATGCGCTAATGTTTCTACAAAAATTAATAATGTGTGTCCTGTTCTTCTGGTAAAATACCTCCTCGCATTTCTGCACTCCCAATACAAAGCATCAATATTCAATAAGTGTACGTCAAATCGTGGTAAAAACATAATCACCATTCGCCAAAATTAACAAAATTTGTATTCTTGACAGTCTCAAATTTGGCGAATTCGCCAATGTTTCTAAAAAAATTAAACAGAGGTGTCCTGTTCTGGTAAAATACCTCCCTCGCATTTCTGCACTCCTAATACAAAGCGTCAATATTCAATAATAATCACCAGAATTATAACATTTTTTGGCGAAACATTTTTTTTTCGCCTAAAAATCATCATAAAATTCTCCTAGACAAATTTGGGGGCGCTGAATGCGGATCTCTCGTTGGTTTTTTTGCTGGAACCTCGGGGTGACCAAATATGGCGAAAAATCCGATTTTTCCTATCATGGCAGCGGATATAATAATCTCAAATTTATATGAAGGAGGTCGTTTTCTGTTCCTTGTATTAGGAACACGGAAGAGCGAATTTTTAACAGCTAGGGACACAAATACATATACAGTTTAACAGTTTATTGTTTAAAGATTGTAAAACAAAAAAAGGGGAAAGTGTACCAAGACGCCATCTGTTCGATTCGTGTTCAAGCAGCTTAATACAGAGTTACTTTGCTTAATCTGTAACGTCAAGGTTTGTTTCTCCGCTAGCTTCCAATGCAGTGGACATCTATGGACGAGAAGTAACATTGATATTCAATGACATTCATTGCAATGTAGATAGCTGTCTGTAAAGCCGACCGAAACGGCTACCACGTCAAGATTTAGTCAGATTTCATTAGAAATCAGACAAGGATTTCATTTTAATTTAATTTTCAAAACAATTTAAGTTACGTACGTTTAATTTAATTTTAACTTTATAGGCGACCGGATAAAACGTTAGAATTTCAATTTTAAATGATGATAAATGAGAATACCAAGGTTTTTGACGCCGAACGGCAATACTTGAAGTAAGCCCGGATAGTGGAGTGCCCAACCCGAAGGTCCGGGGTTCAGATCTCAGCATAGGTACTATATTTTTTTTCCAAAAATTTACAATCTTAAATAAACTGTATATTTGTGCCCCTAGTTATTAAAAATTCGCGTTTCTGTGCGAAAAACAGAAATTTTAAATTTCAGTGAACGACGTCCTTAATATAAATTTGAAATTAAAACATCTGCTGCTCATATCAGGCGAAAAGAACTTTTTCGTCAAAAAATGTTGCAAGGAATAATTTGAACTAGAAATTTCTGCTCCGGTATCAGGAGCTTAGAAACGCGAAGAGGTATTTTATTACCAGACAAAATAAGGTGTTGTAGAACGAAATTTTAATTTCTGATCAAAAATTATATCACGAGTAACAAGAGTGCTAAAATGTGAGAAGTTATTTTATTTTACTAACCATCAGGAGTACAGAAACACCTCTTCGTTTTCAATTTCGGGACCATGAATGTCTAATTTAGAACTAAATTTTCTGCTCTTGGTCTAGGAATACAGAAATTTGAGGAGGTGTTTTATAAGTTATTATATAGGAGTAATTTATATATAAGTATATTATTCACGAGTACAGAAACACCTCTCCGTTTCGAATTTTAAAACGATGCGGGTTTAATTTAAGATTAAAATTTCTGCTCCTGGTATCAGGAACACAGAAGTGTGAGGAGGTATTTTACGAATTATCAGGAGTACAGAAACACCTCTGTTTAATTTTCCTTTTCAAGAGAACGTTTAAATTTAAAAGAAAAATTATACTCCAGGTACCAGGAACACAGAAGTGCAAGGAGGTATTTTACGAATTATCAGGAGTACAGAAACACCTCTGTTAAATTTTTCATTTCAAGCGAACGTTTAATTTCAAATGAAAATTTCTGCTCGTGGTACCAGGAACACGGAAGTGCGAGGAGGTATTTTCCGAATTATCAAAAGTACAGAAACACCTCTTTTTTATTTTTCTTTTCAAACGAATGTTTAATTTTGTATTGAAATGTCTGCTCCTGGTATTAGGAACACAGAAGTGCGAGGAGGTATTTTACGAATTATCAGGAGTGCAGAAACAACTCTATTTATTTTTTCTTTCCAAGGGAATGTCAAATTTTTAATGAAAAATTCTGCTCCTGGTACCAGGAACGCAGAAGTGCGAGGAGGTATTTTTAGAATTATCAGGAGTACAGAAACACCTCTGTTTAATTTTCCTTTTCAAGCGCACGTTTAATTTTAATGAAAAAATTGTACTCCTGGTATTAGGAACACAGAAGTGGGAGGAGGTATTTTACGAATTATCAGGAGTGCAGAAACACCTCTATTTAATTTTTTTCCAAGGGAATGTCTAATTTTTAATGAAAAATTCTGCTCCTGGTACCAGGAACACAGAAGTACGAGGAGGTATTTTACGAATTATCAGAAGTACAGAAACACCTCTGTCTAATTTTTCTTTCCAAGGGAATGTTTAATTTCATATTGAAATTTCTGCTCCTGGTATAAGGAACACAGAAGTGCGAGGAGATATTTTACGAGTTATCAGGGGTACAGAAACACCTCTATATAATTTTCATTTTCAAGCGAATGTTTAATTTTAAATGAAAATTTCTGCTCCTTTTTATTAGGAACACATAAGTGCGAGGAGGTATTTTACGAATTATCAGGAGTGCAGAAACACCTCTATTTAATTTTTCTTTCCAAGGGAATGTCTAAT